TTCCTATTCAGACAGGTGTTTAAAACAAAAATTCTCAAGAATGTCTTGGGGGTGTTGTGTTATTTTAAAGTATATGATTTTTAAGTGTATATTATTTTTAAACAAATGATCTGTTTTAATATTGTAGTAATTTAATTCCTTTTATGAGGGGGTATTGTAAAGTAATAATTATCACCCAGAAGTTATTATGGTATATTGATAAAATTTTGCCAGTGTCATCATTGGTCCTCTAAGTGTATGGTGTTCAGAAAATCAGCTCATTGTGTCCTTTATTTTTGTTACAGGTTGTGCCAGAATTTACTAAGTTGTATGATGGAGAAGACTGAGGCTTGCAGCATGACAATGTATCTTGCAGTTGAAGGGTAATGGTCCCTGGCAAATTCATGATGGGATGATGGTAGTTTATGGAAACGACTGCCCATCTTATGACACTCCTGTGAGGTGGAAAAGGAATTTCCAAACTGGTCACATGTCCCTCACAGATGATCCAAGACCTGGAAGACCATCATTGATGGATTATGCAGCCACAGTGAAAAAAGTGGAGTGTTTAATCCTGGAAGACAGATGAGCAACCATCAAAATGATCATGAATGAAACTGCTCTCAGTTATGGTAATGTGTGGAAAATTATTCATGATGAACTGCATGTCTAAGGTGTCTGCACACTGGGTTCCACATTTGCTTTCCAGAAATAGACATGGTTTCACCCAAGGCCGATATTGATGCTGTTGGAACAGGATGAAGAGAATTTTTTTTTTGTCGTCTTGTAACTATGGATGGATCTTGGATTTATCAGTATGATCCAGAGACCAAAACCATGAGCATGGAGTGGAAGCATGCTGATTCCCCTCCCCCAAAAAAGGCAAAGGTGCAAAAGTCAGCAGGGAAGGTCATGCTTTCAGTTTTTTGGGGACTGTCATGGAGTCATTTTCACAGATTTCCTTGCAAAGGGACAAACCATCACTGGCACATACTACATCAATCTTTTGGAAAAGTTGTGAGATGCTCTATAAAAGAAACACCACGGTATGCAATTCAGGGGTATTCATCTCCTAGCTGACAATGCAACAGCTCACTCATCTCAAGTTGCAGTTAACAAAGCATGGCCATGTGGGTTTGAGATCATGTAGCATCTGTCTTATTCTCCCAACCTTGCACCAAGTGACTTTTTCTTGCTCCCAGAAATAAAAAAATCTGTTGTGGGGTTGCCGATTTGACAACACGGCCTTGCATGAATTGGAAGAGTGGTTTAAGATGCAATCTGCAGACTTCTACAATAATCGTATTCAGAGGGTCAAGAAATCATAGAATCATAGAATCATAGAGTTGGAAGAGACCACAAG